TTATGGCAGGAAAAAACATATAGTTTTCTATTTTTCGCATGGATTTTTATTTAGTTCTTCAACGTAATGAACTATGTAGATTGATTTCAGATACGTTCTGGTCTGATCCATGAAAAAATATAAACAATTTGGGAACAAGTCGCGAGCGCGAGAAGGGATGTCTTGGATGGGACGCGCAACGTGTCGCAGTTTCCGACGTGGTTTGGGAAGTGCCGCGCCATTTTTATATCTTCACGAATCGTAGTCACATAAATGTAATGGCGGCAGGGCCTGTAGAGCGAGCACCAGGCACTTTTGTTTAAAACGGATGTGATATTCGTGTTTTTCGGGTCGAAGTTCCTCTGATGGCAACTTCTAAGATAAGTTTACCCCACCTTCAGCACAACCTTCAGAAAAAGAGCAGCAAACAGCGCACAATCGCAGAATTTTACCCATGAGTCCGTCGGGGATCGCTACCATTATCTACCCTTGTTAGGTGCAGAATAGGGTGACTATGCATCCTGTACTTCATCAATGCTACATTGAAGGGCCAAAATGGAACGACAACTTATGATAGAACACTGAGAAAGTAACAGGGACTCACGGCAAGGTATGGGAGCAGAGTGGATGGTTTGCGATCAGCGGTACATTGAAAAACGAGAACTCGTTTCATTTTTGGAGTCTTCTTCACTACTTTTCCAAACCACAACGAGCACATCTGTAAGAGAGTCTGACCTTCAGAAATAGTTCAACGAGAAATATATGATAAACAGAAAATGAGAAAAACGAGTTTACCTCCATACTTTTTGGTGTGTGTGCACCATCCAAATAAAAACGTATTCGATCAGTGTCGATAACCTGACTTCTACCTGGCCACTGACATGACTCTAGGGCCTCCACTACCAACTGTGGAACATTAAAAGGCTCACCGATACGCCATTCATTTTCATGCGCTTCAGGAAAGACGTCCACTGAAACGATGAAAATGCTGCAGCATCTAAAGCTTGAAAAAAATGGAACAGCAATTATATGTTAGGTGATACCTTCATGTCCCATTCGTTTTAGCCACGTTCTTGCCAATTGCAGAGCCAAAGAAATGTTGAGTTTTTGATGTTCACCATCGATCCCAGCCGATACGGTACCCGTTGCAAAGGAGTAAGATTCGTATGGTGGTGCAGTCCTGAGATCAACCTAAATCTGAAGGAAAAGTCATTATAGATGGCCAAATACACATGTCTACTCTCCCACTAAACCGCGTTTTATTTGCTTAATTTCCGAGTTGAATAATATCTGCTTGAAACAAAGAAATTGGTGGGGGCTGAGGAGGGAACAACTTGGAAGGTGGCGTTACTTGAAGGTCAACTTCGCTTTACGGCTTAACATCCGACTACTCTATCATTGAGCGATGGAAGCGCATGGGAACGGAAGGAAGGAAATGGCAAGGAATAGTCAAGAATCAGAATGATGATGGAAAATTCTTGAGGCAGAAATACCCTCCCTGCAACAAATTTCCTCCACACAGGGTATCACCACTGCCCCTTCTTTCTTAAACCTTATTCCGGTACATTCGAAAGCGGAAAACCTGATAACTTGCCAGATCCTACTTTTCGTTTGTTAATTGATTACAACGTGAACGTGATAATGACTTTCAAATGAGAGCAGTGAATACAGTTTCCAGCAAAACTTCCATTGATGATAAGGTTACAGGGAAATCTATCGACAAGGACACATATCTATTATAGAAAATCAATCCAAAATCTTCAAAAAAGAGCAGTAAGGAGAAAATAGCGCCCACTAAGCAATGCGAGTTCAAATGCTTCGATGGTACTGAACATAGAAAGATTGCTGAGGATACAGCTATCGGAACTGATTATAAAAGAAGTACATAAAGGAGCGAGGATATCAGCTGTCTTTCATGGGATTCACAGGTCACCCTTTCAACTCACACATTTAAATGCAACACCAGATCGTAACAGCGTAATAATGGGCATACAAAAAAGGGAAGACGCACAACCCTTACAAGATTACCTCTTGCACTTCTTATAAAGCACATCATAGCAGTAACATATATAGTATTTTGTTTGAAGGCAACTCACTCAGCGGTCCAAACCACGCTTTTCTATGACGGCAAGAGCATCTGGTGAAGCTGGACTCATTACAGCCGGCGAACCATTCTTCAAAATACCAGCCTTGTGCCATGCGATAGAAGGTAAGGTAGATCCCAGTATGGTAGTATGGTCAATGTCCAAAGTGGAGATGTACCACATAGAGAGGATGCTTAAAATAACTTAGAAATAACATGTAAACATTGTCTCATGCTGATAGTGGAAGATATTAGGTGATTATAGTAGCTTTAATGCATTCGAAACACTTCGTCGGAGGTACATTGCGTTACCCGATATGGAACCATTCAGACTTTGCATGCCATTTATCTACTAAACACCTCACGCGTAGTCAACGTGAAGGACCACAAAAAGAATGAAAGAAAGGAAACTTACTGTATGATATTCGTACAGTCGTACTCTCCACCGATTCCGACTTCTACTATAGCCACATCAACACATTCCTCAAGAAACACATGAAAGGAGAGAAGAGTGAGAAACTTGAAATATGGAGGCATGCCTTCCGACCTTCATCCTGAAGAAGAAAACTACGTAATGAATGAAACTAAAGCTGCATGAGTCAGGCAAAGTGGTGGGGCTTCACGTTCTTGAGTCTATTATAAATAGTGAAGAAATGCTTCGCAAACATCGCTTCGCTGATTGGCTTTCCATTGATACGAATCCTCTCTCGAGCGTGGACCAAATGAGGTGACCTTGAAGCACGCATACATCTATTTGTTGGCAAGCAAAAAATTGCAAGAAAGGAACTGTTTCACAGTTTTATTATGATATTTAGGCCAAAAATGCGAAAAATTAATACCACCCTAACACAGTCGAAGCTGCTAAAAAATACTCACTGCGAACACCTAGATGTCACGCTAATGAGTGTAGTGCAATTGATGAACGCATATTGAAAAGGCCAGATATGGTGTAGTGATAAGGTCAGCATACCACGCATGGCCTTCGCACGAATAATGAATCGAATTTCGACCAATGTCTCCTTCCAATTTTATATTCTCTCCAAATATAATTTAGTAACACGAGTGTTACCGTCGGAGGGAAAGGAAAGGTATTCCACTGTAGCGCATTAAAAGGTCTCATACCACGATGCTAAATGTAGCCCTCAGAAAACATTGCTCCATCCTCGGTCGGGAAGACGAAAACATTAGATTGTAAATCCCTAGGACGTGAAAAACTGAGACTGGTGAATATCAAGCTTTCGACGCAATGCGCTTCCGCTGGGGGTGGGACAGTCTTGTAGGAAGGCCACTAGGCCAAGGCCTAACGTGAAGGACGAAGTCCGGAAAGAATAAGAACTGCTTACGCATCTTGGATCTAGATCCCCTCTTAGGTTTAGTCCTAAAAAGCTTTTCCGCGAATCTGACCCATTGTTACAGACTGCCCCCTCTGGAGCCACACTGCGCCAATCTTTCTATGTTTTATTCTTTAGTTTTCGAACTACTAATTACGAAAGGGAGCGGTCACTAAAAACTTGGTGCTAAGTGGGCAGGGTGTACGCGGCGACGCGGCGCTCGGCTTGTCTGGTGCTCTCTCTGGACGCGTGGGACTAGCTGAGCATAGGAAGGAGGCTCAAAAACGGTTTTCCGACATACCCTCTATTTTAGAAAGCTAGAAGCGCCTCGAGTGCAGACCACACACCACAAGTGACGACGGCCTCCACAAAATGTTAATGTTTTCTGCCAATGAAATGATTAGCCTGTTGCAGTTGTATTCTATCAGTTGTCACTAATTACAACTATCATTTACCAGTATCAGCTATCACTATGAATTTAGTTAGGTGGTGTGTGGTCTGCACTCGACGCGCTTCTGGTTTTCTGAAACAGACGGTATTTAGGGAGAAGCGGTAAGCAGGATATTCATTCGAAGGAATGGTTTTTGCTGCGAATTTGCTAGGAGTCCAGGATATGTAAGCTATCAACGTGTGCCAAAAGTTGGATTTTGTCTCCACACACCTCATAAGTGTGGACCTAACGACGATCAGTAGTTGACCTGGGTTCCT